GCAGGTCGAGGCTGCAGTGGCCGGGAGCGTGCCACTGCCCTCCAGTCTGGGTGACAGAGTAAGACTCCAACTCAAAAAAAAAAAAAATTAAAGAACCTGGAGCTTTAATGGTCTGGCCTTGTCCTTTGCCCTTCCTGTGTAATATATTTATTTCCTGTAACCTCTTGTAGTCAGTCACTTCTATTGAAAAGAAGGTAGCCAGGCTCGGTGGCTCAGCCTGTAATCCCATGCTTTGGGAGGCTGAGGTGAGTGGATTGCCTGAGCCCGCGGGTTCAAGACCCGCCTGGGCAACTTGGCGAGACCTCATCTTTACAATAAATCAAAAAATCAGCCAGGCGTGGTAGCGCGTGCCTGTAGTTCCAGCTACTTGGAAGGCTGAGGCAGAAGGATCGCCGGAGCCCAGCAGGTCGAGGCTACGGTGGCCGGGAGCGTGCCACTGTACTCCAGTCTGGGCGACAGAGTGAGACTCCAACTCAAAAAAAAAAAAAAAGAAAGAAAAGGCTGTTATTTTTATCAAGTCCTCTGGTAACAATAGCTGCATTTGTAACACTGACATTAACTTCGGCATGTTTCCTCTGCAGTCCTTCTGGCTGTACATTCTGGGGCAAGAAGCCATGGAGCCGTAAAAAGAAGATTCTGTGGCAGCTGGGCACATTGATTGGTGCTCCGGTGGGGATTTCTCTCATCGCTGGCATTGCCATTCCTGCCATGGTCATTGGCATTCCTGTTTATGTTGGAAGGAAGGTAAAGCATGCTGGGTTCTGTGTATGGCATGTTCCAGTTTTAGGTTTGTTGGTAAAGGTTTGAAGGAAATGAAAAGGAGCTTATATTTCAGGGCTGCCTGAAAACCAACTGCTTCTTAGATAAAAATAACCCTGATTTTTAAAATAGATTTTCATAAACCCGTGAGATCTGAAAGTTCTTATTAAACATCCTGGACCTGGTTTGTCTCAGTGACTTAAAAGTAAAATGCTTACTTCATTCCTCTGAGTTATTTTGTCTTTTATTGGATTAACTTTATCTGCATTGGTTTATATCTTCCAGGTCTGGGTTAAGTTAAAATTTGAGAAAGATGCCTCTTTGGGGTGGAGGGTATGTTTTAATATAAATAACTTATAAGTGAATGTACACTTATCTTATTCCCTGGCAAAACTCTGGTATTCTAACCTGCTGATCTGGATTTTCTTTTTTGTTTTTAGATTCACAGCAGGTATGAGGGAAGGAAAACCTCCAAACACAAGAGGAATTTGGCAATCACAGGAGGAGTGACTTTGTCAGTCATTGCATCCCCAGTTATTGCTGCAGTTAGTGTTGGTAAGCTAGTCAGGACCATGCCTTTTCTCTGTCAGATTTCTGACCATAGATAGCAGTTTAGCAAGCTGGCCAGATGTTTCCCAGAGACTCCTGCATTTTATGCCAAGCCCACCTTGGTAGTTAACTCTATTTAGCCTCATTATTAATGATTATCTTTTAGTTTTTCAGCCTCACCAGATCATCAGAGTTGAGGGGTCTTTCATTGTTAAGTTAGTGCTTCGAACTCCGTCTGGCACATAGAAAAAGTAGAATTTAAGAAAATTACTTTTAGGCCCTAGCTTTTGACCTTTCATTTTCTTCCCTCTCCACTTGCTGTGGAACCTACAAAAACAAAATTACCTTTATTTTGATTTGTTTGATGCCTCACGGTATTTTGGGAGGCATGAGATTTTGTTTTAGAATAATAATAAAATAACATGTAATAATGCTCTCCATGTACCAAAGGTAGTTATGAGCCTTATACAATATTAATTTATTTAATCCTCGCAAAAAGTAGCACAATTTTAAAAAGCAGTGCAGTAATTTTCCCAAGGTCACTTAGCTGGGACATGAATAGAAGAGGGAGAAGTGAAACCAACATGTATTTACTGTGCTAGGCATTGTGTATATGTTCTCATTTGATCATTGACAACCCTGGGAAGATAGTTCTGAGTAAATTTGAAACAAGTAAATTGGACCCCAAGATTCTAAGGCCCTTTCTGATTGCTAGCCTGGTCAACATTCTGTTTTGCCAGGCAGGCTCTTTGGGAGAGCCATTTTCTGTCTCTCTTTGGCCCATACCCAGGCTGGGAAAAAAAAATTAAGGGCACATGCAACCTGATGGCCTGCTGACATGTTTCTTTCTCCTCCCCCAGGTATTGGTGTCCCCATTATGCTGGCATATGTTTATGGGGTTGTGCCCATTTCTCTCTGTCGTGGAGGTGGCTGTGGAGTTAGCACAGCCAATGGAAAAGGTGTGAAAATTGAGTTTGATGAAGATGATGGTCCAATTACAGGTAAAAGCAGTATTTTTATTTCCATGAGGATTTTTGGGACATAGGATAAAAATCAGTAAAATTCACGATTTACAGAGAGGTTGTCTTTGGATTACTGTGGATAATGAGCTTTGTAGGGGGTAAAGTATTTTTAGCTTTTCATTTCTTTGTTCCAGAGTTATTAGGTTAATTCCTCTGGTACTTGCTTCTGTGTGGCAGGTACAAACTAGTAGGATTCAAAGTATGCTGGTAGTAGTAGTGATTATATTAAAGTCTTATATCTGCCCAGTACTTTATAATTTTCAGAGGACTTCACGTAATTATTATCTCACTTGTTTTTTGCAACAGCTCTGTGAAGAAGGAAAGGGATATTATTATCCCCATTAAAATGGGAACTTTTTGACTGGGTGCGGTGGCTCACGCCTGTAATCCCAGCACTTTGAGAGGCAGAGACAAAAGCATTGCCTGAGTCCAGGGATTTGAGACCAACCTGGGCAGCTTGGAGAGACCTCGTCTCTTGAATAAATCAAAAAATTAGCCGGGTGTGGTGGCATGTGCGTGTGGTTCCAGCTACTTGGAAGGCTGAGGCAGAAGGATTACCTGAGCCCAGCAGTTCGAGGTTGTGGTAGCCATGAGTCTACAGCTGAACTCCAACCTGGGTGAGAGAGTGAGACTCCTACTAAAAAAAAAAAGGAAAAAAGAAAAAACTTTTTAAAGCTTTTGTCTCAGACCAGGCACGGTGGCTCATGCCTATAATCCCAGCACTTTGGGAGGCTGAGATGAGAGGATTGCCTGAGCCCACAGGTTCAAGACCAACCTGGGCAACTTGGTGAGACCTCATCTCTACAGTGAATCAAAAAATTGACCGGGCATGGTGGCGCATGCCTGTAGTTCCAGCTACTTTGAAAACTGAGGCGGAAGGATTGCCCTGAGCCCAGCAGGTCAAGGCTGCGGTGGCCAGGAGCTTGCCACCACCCTCCAGCCTGGGTGACAGGGTGAGAAACCAACTCAAAAACAAACAAAAAAAAGCTTTTTGTCTCAAAATCTGTTGAAAGCCTCTGTAGAACTTGGACTCGAGGAAACCTCTGACTTCTACTTTAATGTCATTTCTGCTTTACTATGGAAAATAACCTGGGACACAGAGCACCCCAACAGTTTTTCAAGCTTTTTACTAGAAGCTTCCTGATAGAATCAGCACATGATCTAGACATTTTTGAAATCTTTATGTGATTAAATGGCAGCAATGGTGTTATGGAAAGAATAGTGGACCTGGAATCAGAGTTGTAGTTTCATATGACTAACCATGGCTTTGGGCAAGTCATTTAATTTTAGTTTCCTAGTACTAGTACTAATAATTTTTTTCCACATGAAAATCCTCTACTCTGAAGAGTCATTACAGGAAAATGCCTACTGGACTATTTTGATGCTGTACTGTCCTGAATTGAGATGTTTGGTTCTATCGTTAGTGGCAGATGCCTGGCGAGCCCTCAAGAATCCCAGCATTGGGGAAAGCAGCATTGAAGGCCTGACTAGTGTATTGAGCACTAGTGGAAGCCCTACAGATGGACTCAGTGTTGTGCAAGGTCCTTACAGTGAGACAGCCAGCTTTGCAGCTCTCTCGGGGGGCACACTGAGTGGCGGCATTCTCTCCAGTGGCAAAGGAAAGTACAGCAGGTAAACAAACCGATCATTCCTGACAGAAATGGTTGGAATTATAAGAAGTACCATGTTAAGCCATTTCTCTGTGCTAGACTCGTCCCATATATCATCTTATTTTTATTTGTCAGTGGGTTTTTGTGTTTTTGTTTTGTTTTACTTTTACAAATAGGAAAAGAGCTTAGAAGAAAGATTAACTCAGCTGTGCAAAGTTCAGTGTTCCTTTCACTGCACCAGAGCTACCTCTATATAAAGAATAATCCTGACTGCAGATTCACCGTCAACTATATTAGGCTTCCTGCTTCAAGAAGGGACAGCTGGAATTTTTATAGAATTCTTAAGGCTGTGCTCTCCATTAGGATTGTTTTTGGCTTTTAGTTGAGTAGTGTTTATGCAATATTGTGGCTTATTGGTACTGTGCTCCTTATTACCTTTCTATTCCCATTTGATAGATAAAATCAATTCTGTGAACTTGTTTTGAGACTATATAAAGCTTTGTTACTGTAATGGTTGTGACTTGCTTGGTTATTTCATCAGTTAGACAAACCAGAATATATATATTCAGAGGAGCATAACAGATGTCACATGAGAAACAGGTGAATGCACTGGAGAAAAGAGGCCTGGGAACACAAAGCAGGAGAGGAAGGTAGCAGAGAAGGCTGCCTTCAAATATTTGAAGGGTCTTCAACTGGCAAAAGGATTAGACTTCTATGACTCATACCAAGAGGTAGATTAAGATGACTTGGAGAGAGAAGGAAACTAATTTTGGTTCAGTATAGAGAATGTAAGGAAAAGCTACATAAAAATCCAAAGAAGGAAGAGCTACATTAGTACATACTGAGCTGCTTATCCCTGGAAGTATTTAAAGTGAGACCAGATGGCCATTTGGCTATTAGAAAGATTCAAGCAACAGATGACAGGTGAACTGCATCTCACACCTGAGTGCCTATCAGTCACCTGAGAGACTCTTTAAAATAGATTTCAAGGCCCTATCCCGGTCTTAATAACTTAGAATCTCTTAAAGTGGGAACTACGAGGTTTTTAAAAAGCTCCCCAGCCGGGCTTGGTGGCTCAGCCTGTAATCCCGCGCCTTTGGGAGGCTGAGGTGAGTGGATTGCTTGAGCCCACGGGTTCGAGACCCGCCTGAGCAGGCGAGACCTCATCTCTACAAAAAATCAAAAAATCAGCTGGGCGTGGTAGTGTATGCCTGTAATTCTGGCTACTTGGAAGGCTGAGGCGGAAGGATCACCGGAGCCCAGCAGGTCGAGGCTGTGGTGGCCGGAAGCAGCCACTGCACTCCAGTCTGGGCGACAGAATGAGACTCCAACTCAAAAAAAAAAAAAAAAAAAAAAAAGCTCCCCAGGTGATTCTAGCACAGCCATTGCATGAACCAGCATCTGGGAGCCACCTAAGTAGGTGGCCTTTGTGAAAGATTCTCGGAACTCAGAGTGATTCTGTGGCAGAGCTGAAACTGGAACCCAGGTCTCTGATTCCATGCACTTTCTATTGTACTCTCATTTTCCTGGACCCTGACACATTTTGAAAGGGCATCTGAGGCTGGAGCAGCAGAGTAATGGTACAGGTGGTAGGATGGAGGCTGCTTGAATGTGCAGCTGCAGGCTGCTACTGACCTGGCTGCATCTCATGACTCTGGTTGCCTCTTGTTAGGGGATCCCGCCCCCACATGCTGGAGTATTCACTGCTGTGCTTTCTTAAAACCAACACCCCTGTATATAGCAGACAGACATAATTGGAGACTGACTTGCTGAAACTGCAGCTTAGCCAGTCCAGCTGTTCCGGTTCTGTGAAAGCCTTTCTTTTATAGGAAGTGAATGAGTCAGATGAGTTTGACTGTGAAACCCATTATGAGGAAATACTTAAGTGTGCAACCGAATGGCATTGGAGCCAAGAAAGGAAATAGTTATGGGTTCTCAGCTCTGAGACACCATTGGGAAAGTTTGCTGCTCCAAGAGGAGGGAGGAAGTTGGCTCCAAATGTCCTTCAATCTCATAGCCTAGAGGTAATTTGATTGCTCAATGTTTGAGTCCCTATTATGTTCAAGGCAGGGAGGATCAAGTGTGAATGAGTTATGGTGTCTCCTTTGTGGAAGGAGGAGTGGAAGAGAAAAATTGGTATAAAGTAGGTAGGTGCTATAGGAATATGTAGCTGAAAGTGACTGGTTTTCTGGGAGAATGAAGGGAAATGATATTTCTTTTGTTGTTAAGGACTAAGTGTAAATTTATCCAGTAAAGAAAGGAAACTTTCAGAGACAGCGAATAGCATGTTCAAAGTCATGGAGGTATAAAATGTGTATAGGTATTTAAGGAAAGAAAAAATACAGAATGATTATGATTTTCGAATCTATAGTGAATGATGGAGCTGGACAAAGAGCTTCCTGAAAGATCAGGAAGACCTTAAATGCCTGTTGGCAATAGGGAGCCAAGAGTTTTAGAGAATTGTTAGAGCTATTGGCGCTTTATCCACACTGGCACTAGACTGGATATTGATTGACTTAGACTTCAGGGCTACTGGAGAAGGGAACCCAGTTGTAATTATCCAGACAGAAGATACTGGCCTGAAGTTACATAGTAGCTGTGGGGATAGAAAGGAGGGGACGATTTCAATAGATTCTTGAGAGAGAAAATATGTGGGCATCTACTTGAGCTGTTTCACAATTGGAGAAAATCAGACAGATCACCACAATTTGCAAGAGAAATGAAAGAGATATGTGCCACAAAGCAGATTGTCTTGGAATACCTAGGTCTCATATTAACTTGAACGTCCCCTCTTTACACAGGTTAGAAGTCCAAGCCGATGTCCAAAAGGAAATATTCCCCAAAGACACAGCCAGTCTTGGTGCAATTAGTGACAACGCAAGCACTCGTGCTATGGCCGGTTCCATAATCAGTTCCTACAACCCACAGGACAGGTATGTGAACAGTCAGATGCCCAGGAGAGGTTGCATTTTTTGGTTGGGTACTAGTTCAGAATTTCAATAACTCGTGTTAGGTAGCTCTGTGTACCATGTTGTGGGATATATAGGATACCTTGTGAATTCATCGAGCAAGTTCTTGGTACTGAAGTGTTTGGCATCTCTTGATTCTTCTTGTTAATATTTGATTTTTAGAGATTTGTTTTCTTTCTTCCTTTTCTTTTTCTCATTAGAGAAATTTTTCTCTTTTTGGTCGTTCTTTTTTCTTTTGGTCTTTTCTTGGCTATTGCAACAGTGTATAATTACATAGAACTTAAAGAGCTGGATTGGTATTTATTGGTGTCTGTGAGTCTAGGGTTTCTGCTTGATAGGGCTCCCATAGCCTATCTCTCTTCCATTTTGAGAACCAATGTGATTGTGATGTTCCTACTGTGGGGATTCTGGCTTCTTCTACTTGTGACACAGTAGTAAAAAGCTACAAATCTTTTTCACTTTTATATTTTAAGTATGCTAGTGTGAGGCTCTGACCCTTAGTTGAATTTTAGAAGCTCTTTTTAGATGTTTTAAGAGATTGAATGAGGTGTATATGTGAGTGCACATGCCTACATGTATGTATGTTAAATCAGCAAAAAGATCTGATTGCTCTTCTCCATCTTATTTGTGTGTTAGACTGAAATTTTATTTTTGCTAAAAGTGAACTCCAGTCCACTGTTTACTTTTTTTTTAACTTCCTAATCTTGAACCCATAAACTGCTTTTAACAACAGGTATAGGATGATGTATGCATGACTCAGCAAAGTGGATTTTGTCTCCACAGGGAATGTAACAATATGGAAATCCAAGTGGACATCGAAGCCAAACCAAGCCACTATCAGCTGGTGAGTGGAAGCAGCACGGAGGACTCGCTCCATGTTCATGCTCAGATGGCAGAGAATGACGAAGAAGGTAGTGGTGGTGGAGGCAGTGAAGAGGATCCCCCCTGCAAACACCAAAGCTGTGAACAGAAAGACTGCCTGGCTAGCAAACCTTGGGACATCAGCCTGGCCCAGCCCGAGAGCATCCGCAGTGACCTGGAGAGCTCTGATACGCAGTCAGATGATGTGCCAGACATCACCTCAGATGAGTGTGGCTCCCCCCGCTCCCATACTGCAGCCTGCCCCTCGACCCCCAGAGCCCAAGGTGCACCGAGCCCAAGTGCCCATATGAACCTCTCTGCCCCAGCTGAGGGACAGACTGTCTTGAAGTCAGAAGGTGCAGAAGCCAGAGTATGAAGTGGAATGAATGCTCCTGTTCTGAGAAGCACACTTGTTGTAACTGCATCTTTTGGAATCTTTTTTTGGGGGTGGGGGGGTTAGAGATTTATGTATTTTATTTCAAAGATTCTCTGGTCACAGATTTTCCCCAGGGAAATTCTGAGAAATTTTCAGATAAAAATTACCAGATAAAATATGAAAAGTTTGCCATTAGGCCCCCCTTTCCCCCCTTTTTTAGTTTTAATTTATTGGTTAAACTGATGTTGGCGATCCGTGAGGTGTGTCAAAGAGTGTACATATGTATGTGTGTATATTGTATGCTAAACATATTACTGAAGGACACATTTTAATAAAGATTTCTGCTGTAATTCTATTTATCTCATTTTCCTTGGCTTAGATAGTCCTACAGAGCCAAGTGTGTAAAACAGAACACTGCATCTTTGACAGTCTTTGGACCTGAATCTTTCTAATCCCAGGAAAGATTGTATTCAAATCCAACTGCAGTGGAGGCGTCTATAAACCAATGACATCTAGCACAAGAAGGAGGAAAGCTAGGCTTGTTTTGGACCAGGCAGTCTGACTGAAGAATTATTAGCTGAGTCAGCTGAATAGGGAAGCGGTAGATTAGAACAAACCTTGTTTGCCTTCTAGAGGCAACTGTGCATTTTACTGTTTTTTTGTTTTTGTTGTTGTTATCCCAGGTTTATTGAAAATACAGTTTACTGTTAAAGCTTTAAAAACCCTTTTCTGCATTATGATTCCTTTAGTCATGTGCTTCAGAGGAGGGAAGGGGTGGCAGTCCCAAGAAGCTCTTAAGAGAGGTCTGAGTGAATGTTGCAAGTTTACAAGTTGGGGAATAGAATATCCTGCAATTTGAGGAAGAAATGTACTGATTCTGAATAATCACCAAGCAATAACATAGGTGTTGGCTATGCTCTTGTGTATACTGCTCTCTGTTCCAAAAATCTTTCTCAGTTTTGCTAATCTAGTCGAAATAAGAGGGACTAAGGAATCGAGAGGAGACATGCCATCAAAATCTCTGAAAATATTTATCTGACCTTACAAATTCATCAGAATTGAGTTAAACTAGTACTACTTGGAGTTTTGGCTCTATCTAGAATAACGTCCTTAGAAATAAAAGCTTATACATAGTATAGCAGGAAAATTAAAAGACTCGTGAGACCCCATGTACAATTCCAAATCTGACAGTAACCTACTTTGTGACTATGTGGGTCAGTTACTCTCTCATGCCCCTAATTTCCCCAACTTTAAGACTACATTTAAGGAACTTTCTGTGCCAAATCTCGTATCACCTTAGCCCTGGGCCCAGGAGAAGAATTGAAATCATGCTTTCCCTGGGGACCAGATGACTTTCTGTTTCCTTTCACAGATGAACCTGTTCTTTGTCTTCCTGGCCTGTGTTTTACTATAATGGGGATGATGAGTCTGGACAACAGCCAACTTGGGAGATTCTTATCCCTGGGGCACTGCAGCCAGACTTAGCATATTCCCTGCACCTGGCACAGGAAATGCTGTTAGCAGACTTCGGAGAAAAGTACCCTAGAAAGGTGATGGTGACCTTGTGGGGAAAAGGGAACTTGTTGAAAAACAAGGCAGTCTGGAGATCTCTGAAATGCAAATTATCAACTCAAAACTTGCAATTCTTGAAACCTCATCAAGAGAGCGATTAACTTGGATAAAATCAAAGGAGTCTGCTGGAGAGGCAGTGGTTTACAGCCAAACTTGTGTTTCTTATCTGGATTCTACTTCTTATTGCTATGCAGCTTACTGTCTGAATCTGATTTTACTTAGCCAAAATGGGGATGATAATCCTAATTATGGGGTTGTAAAGATTGAGATAATATACTAAAAATGCTTTTGGTAAAGGCCCATGTTTTTTCTTTCTGCAGAAAAAATAAATAAAGGAGATTCTAGGTATTGTATAAGAAAGGAAGCCTAGAACTCTATCTAGACCAGAGGCTGTGAAAAACTTTTTTATTCTACTCCTTGGCAACACTCCTATGTCCCAGACATTAGCAGATGAAAAGGCCCATCAGCACCATCTAGAGGATAACAGAAGTAATGCACTAGAAAAGTTCTCAGCTTAGAAAATGGGGAAAGTTTCATTTCCTCTTCATACAGCCTTCAGACATTCTGAGATACCTACCACCTGTCAGGTATGGGATGCAGCAATGAATAAAACACAAAATTCCTGTCCCCATGAAACTTACACTCTAGTGGGGGAGACAATCGTATATAATTGGGATGAGGATAAGTATGAAGAAAAAACACGAAAGAGAAATAAATGGCCAGTATAGGCCTTTTTGATAAGGCTACATTTTATTAGAGACCTGAATAGAGTGAGGAAGAGAACTATGTTAATCCTAGAAGAAGAACACACCACACCAGACATGAGGAATAAAGTATAAAGATGGTAGACCATCCTTGGTCTGTTTCCTAAAAACAATATAGAGGCCTATGTGGCTGGAACAAAGTGGACCAAGGTGGAGAGAGAAGTAGATTAGGTTGATGAGGTAGTTAGGGGCAAGACTGTGTAGATCAGCAAAACAATGCTGGAGACAAGGAAATTTTAGGTTTCTTTGAGACCAGGAAGAGGTAATCTTCAAAGCAGACAGATAGGGTATTTGCTTTCAAGGAGACTGGAACTGGGAGAGGGGTATGTCTGGTCACCAGTACTACCTGGGTAGACCAATGTATAGAAGCTTATGGATATGGTAAATGGATACTCATTTATTCTGACTTTCAAATGTACCTTCGTATGCTGCAGAGGCTGGCAAGCTAAAATCTTCACGTCTTAGGCTTCCTTGAAACCAAGTTTCTGAATGTAACCTAAGGTGGTTATGTTTTGTCAATTAGATGCACAAACAGGATGTTGAAGGAGGAAGGGATTCAGGGGTTATCTTTAGCTACTTTGGCTATTCGGCAAGATGCAGAGACCTTAGGTTTTTCTTTAACTGCATTCCAGTATCCATCAGTAGCTTTGTGGGTGTTGAGGGCATCCTGATCCACAGACAGCAGTTTGTGGGATGTGTTCTTGTAGCCACCCTGTGGTGGCCTCCTGGTTTCTCGTCTCCCCAGTGGTAGCAGAGGTAGCAGCTCCCATGGTAGGTCAGTTCTGTGTCTAGGAATCTCCTGAGGGCCCAATCTATAGTTCTGTTGCCCAGGCTTCCAACTCTAATGTTAACACCTAATTTACATTTATTGAATCTTTTTCTACTTAAAATGATAAAGTATTGTTTCCTGCAACTACTGAACTCTGACTAATACAGTATTTGTCTTCAAAAGTGCTTATAAGCAATGTAACCACTTTTGAAGCCAAGCAGAGAGAGAGGACTCTTAGATTAATTATGACTGGATTGCATTGAAGGAAATGAGAATCTCATTGTCGTCGGAAATTATAATCTGATAACTTCCACCTGTGATCACCTGAAATGAAATGTCTTTTGGAGAGAAGACTTGCAGCCAAAGTCAAGGAGTTGATGTAATATACCATCATGTAGGAGTCAAGGGCATAGATGGTGGTAGCCACGCTAGAGGGGTTGAAGGAAGAAAATGAAAAACTCAAAAGTCTCCCATCTTCAGTTCAAGGATGTGGTCTCTTGTAGTCGCAAGACTGATGTACACAAGAATCAAATGGAGATTCTGGGCTGCTGAATTACAACATAAGTTGAACTCACAGCTTTACCATCCTCTTATGTGAAAGTTAGGGCATTGTTTGGAAAATAGTGGGACCCTGAAATGAGAGTGAATTTGAATAAATCCCAGCCATGAAACCCACAGACTCCACTTAGCTTCTTTTAACCAGCAGAAGCAGCCCATCTTCCCCTCACAGGCATGACCGGTTCCGTTGCTTGGAGACCCTGGGGTAGTTGCCTTGAAAGAGAATACCAGTACTTCTTATGTCCTACCCACTACTCATCCTCACTACCAGCTATAACTAAAGTCAGATCCCAGTATCCTTCTGGGAGGTCAATGAGAAGTCTGATTTGAGAGAAGACTTAGAAAAGAATTGTAAGACTTTGCTAATTTGTATCAGCAGAAACCTGGGTAATGTGTGTGGACTGGATTCTAAAGGCATGAGACCAGAAAGAGAGGAACATACATTTATTTTCACTCGGGTTGAATTTATCATTGGGGATACACTGGAGATCCTGAACTCAGTATATTGGTTTTCACAGCTGAGAATGGCTCTTCACTGGTTGGCTGGAGAAAAAGTGAGCTTAAAAGCAGCCTCTACTCAATGAAATTGAGGTGCCAAAAATCCTTAGCATTGCATTAGAAGAAGAATAAAAAACATAATAGATATGTTGATTATAGATTTATCATGCATGTGACTTCCTTATCTCCTAATTTTGCCCTCCGAAATTGCCCAGAGCTTATTCCTTTCACCAAGGAACTGGAAGTACAGAAATAGGAAGAATTTTCTTTCTTTTTTTTTTTTTTTTTGGAGTCAGAGTCTCACTCTGTCACCCAGACTGGAGTGCAGTGGCACACTCACGGCCACAGCAGCCTCAACCTGCTGGGCTCAGGCACTCCTTCCAACTCAGCCTTTCAAGTAACTAGAACTACAGGCACGTGCCACCATGCCTAGCTAATTTTTTCATTTATTGTAGAGGTGAGGTCTTGCCATGTTGCCCAGGCTGGTCTTGAACCTGTTCAGGTAATCCCTTCACCTCGGCCTCCCAGAGTGCTGGGATTACAGGCATGAGCCACCACGCCCAGCAGGAGGAACTCTTTCTCTGGAAAAGTTTGTATCCTCCCTAGGCTAGGAATGATGCTAAGAGATGCTGCCAGTGATACGAATCCCTGATATCTGTAGGGATGATGGAATCCTGTAGTGCCAGTATCCAAGGGGTGATGAAAAATAGGGGTTACAGGCCAGGTTGGTGGCTCACACCTATAATCCCAGCACTTCGAGAGGCTGAGGTGAGAGGATTGCCTGAGTCCATAGGTTTGAGACCAGCCTGGGTAACTTGACGAGACCTCATCTCTACCATAAATCAAAAAATTAGCCAGACATGGTGGTGCATGCCTGTAGTTCCAGCTACTTAGAGGGCTGAGGTGGAAGAATCACCTGAATCCAACAGGTCGAGTCTACAGTGGCTGTGAGTGTGCCACTGCACTCCAGCCTGGGTGACAGTGAGAGTCCAACTCAAAAAAAAAAAAAAGAAAAAGAAAAATATTGGTTACCTACTAAGATTCTACTTGGTTAATGGAATACAAAAAGTTTTAGATCTGGCAAATAGAGGCCTGTTTGAGCCACCCAAATGGAGAACTGTGGGCACTCAATTCTTAGAGCTGAGGCCCTTGAATAAAGAAATGCGGGGGTCTGGAGGAGTGGCTCACACCTAT